GCAGCTTAAACGAAATAGGGTGAATACATCCCATATTACTGATTTACTGGTAGTCTCGAAACTCTACTCAAATACGAAAAATAGAAAACAAATCACTTCGCTTCACATTTTCGCATTAAATTTAAGTCAACCTAACCAGGATGTCCAGGGAAACTTAGTTTCTCTTCAATCATACCATAGCCCACAAACAAACCCATGTTTGTGACTAAAAGCCAATCTGGTCACGATGCGTTGAAGAGACTGCCTTGGGTGTAAGCTGAATCTCACTTTGATGTGCGTCTTAAAGAGCGATTTAGGATACGCAGAGAAGTTAAATTAATTGCGAAAATCAAGTATTCTTTTCAATCCACCGTAGGTAGACTAGCTGACGATCGGACAAGAAATACGTTGAAAGTGATACGCCTAGACAACAATCGGCCTCCTGATCTCTTCAAACAAAAATAGGTTACGAAGAATCCAAATGTGTATATTATTTCGGGTATTCCAATTAAATGGGGATTAGAGGGGGAGAGTAGTCAATGACGCATGTGCCGAATATTCATAGAAGAGCCTATCTTTTTGAGTAAGAATTAATTTGCTACCGGTATAGGGAATGATAACGAACGATAATATATGATGAGGGTAAGAATTCGATTAGATACATAGCGAGTAGTCTTTGAGACTATCAGTAGATATTAAAAAATACGATGTTGAAATGATCATTGAATTTTTTTAGCACGAAATGGGTAGACCTGACGACACAATTGAATTTAGCATTGCCTTGATGAGAAATTCAGTGGCATCATGATGTATACTGATAGCTTTGTGGAAAAATTCAATTATCAGTCATAAATAATCTTGTGCGACCGAAAATTAGTTAAATTCCTATTAAGGTAAAGCTGTTTCGTAATAAATAGTTTAACAGCTATGCTGATATGAGGTCCAACTAGGAATAGAGGTGTCAGCTTTACCTATAGTATTGTGGGAAAATTGAACAATCAGTCACATATAATGAAATTTACCAGCGCAAACTTTTCACTAGCCTCTAGACAATGACCAAGTGAATAAATGATCTGGATCAAACTACATTAAAAATGGAAGTAGGGTTCCTGAGAGAAAGTGTCAAATAAAGAAAGCAATCAGTCCTCGACTTAAGGCTTTGGGTCTCATCAATGCGTTTGAACGCATCGTCCTATGGCAAAAACCGTCTTCTTCAAGCTTGTTATGAGAACAGGCGATATCAGTGTTGAGTTGTCCTTCATTTTATATAAAAGTGAGTGAATGAGATAGTCGGAAGCCGATTTCCTTTGGTCAGCTGTAGTTTGAGTTTAATAGGACGTTCATACTGAAGCTGATCTCGAGGATACTTCCTTCCGTTCAAGTGAAGGTTTGTTGAGCTCTCGTAAGTTCATTCGAGTTGCGTTTATCAAGTCAATAAGATCAACCGGCCCATCGCTACCTTTTATATATACCGACAAAAAGTGAGGTGTAGAAAGATTTGATTCGTTCATTCTCATGTCTATCTATACGTAAGTATGTGTATGCGATTAGACAACTTCAGTAAGAGCTCCGAGTAATTAGATCAAAGTACAGCCTTTATGTGAATTAATGACTGCTTAGTGATCCGTCGGACTCAGGGAATTGCAGTAGGCACTAAGTATGCGTAATAATGGACACCCGTCTGATCAAGATAGTGAGGTCAGATGTATAGGAAATATGTCTAAAACTATAAACATGACCAAAGTAAATCATATATCTGATTTACTGATAGTCTCAAAAACCTACTCATTTACAAATAAATTAATTGAGTAGCCATTATTGGTAAAGTGGTTCTGATAATTCTCAGCTGAAATGACTTTCATTTCAGGTACAAGTGTCTGATGAGATACTCACAAACTAATACCACCAGGAAGAATTAGCAGGCCTTAGGGACGTTCGGGATATTGAAATCAGTTCAATAATGATACAGCAAGAGCCGCATCGAAAACCAATTAATATATATATCTCCCATAATTTATTTTTGTTGGATGGACAGACTGGTTTTCTAGGCTCAATGCAAGCTTGAACTGGAAATAAGAATAAATTCCAGATCTGGTGATGTATTTTAAATGTCATGATAGACCAAAGACCATCAAGTTCCCGCCGGACCTGAAAGAGGTTTGTTTGAGACCGATGTCAGCCTGAACGCCTCAGCAGAATGAGTAAATCGTCTTCTAATGATATCGACTCAAGAATATCCCAATTATGCACGTTCGCAGGATGCGAAAGTCAACTTAACAATCGGAAGACTAATTCAAAACCCGTTTTGCTGTTCATATATGCCGGACGATATTTGGATTTAGCAATATCGCCTTGGTTAAGAACGTTCGGCTCAACTACCCAAGCTTTCCAAGGCCGTCAGGATAGGAAAGCACGCAAAAATATATCTCGCCGATTGTATAAAAACTGGTTTTCCAAGAATCCCTTAATAGATTGATGTTGGAGTTCCCTTCAATTAGTTTGACGGGGCGAGTGGAAGGGATTCGTCACCGACTTCGGGCGAGACCAACCTATGAATCCCTTCCACTCGGCTTTTCAAAGGAAATGAATGGTACTCCAGCATTAATGGGTCTCGTGGACAGGACACAAGACGCAAGTCAGACATATACGAGTGGTAGAGAGAATCGTGAAAGAATTAGCCATTTAGCGATGCAGAACCCACCACATTCATAGTTGTGCTTTGACTATTCGAGCGCGGCGAGGCGGACGAGAGTTTGCTGGATGGAGCAGCGAAATCTGAGGCCATCGGTGGGATTCTGGTCGCAGTCTTCGTGGCCTCCACCACCTCCATCGCCAATAAGGTCTTCGGTTCTACGACACAATGAAACTCAGCAATTGGCGACCCAAGACAAGTGCCGCTGGTACACTGGCGAGTTGGCGATGGCCTCCTGATGGCTGGTTCCCAGAAAGTCCGCCCAGTTGTCTTGTTCAGCTGTCGGTCAGGACTGGTGCTGGGTCCAGTTAGTTGGACGGGCTCATAAGAGCCGTCGTGTTTTCCACTAAGGCCACGACGGAATTTGAGTACAGAAGGGTAGGAGGCTGGTGGACTGTTATTGCGGGTCCTTCGAGCCACAGGATCCTCCAAGGTCTGCGTGGAGACTCTGGTTTCCCTGACATAAGTGACATCTCCCTCTTGCTCCCCAGCTTCCTGTTCCTCCCCATCCATGCCTCGTTCATAATCGTCATCCGTGAAGCGGACCTCTACAGGAGCGTCGTCATCCCAGGGGAACTCTTCCGCATACACCTGGGCCGGCTCGAGAGGCTCCAGTTCGTTGCCACTTGGATAGAGAGGTGCCTAAAGGCGTAAACAAGAAAATGAAAGAATGGATGAATAAAATAAAACTGATTGGAAAGTTGGGCGGATAGATGAACCAGTGAGTAAAGCGCGCTAGATAAATCAAATGGTACAGCAGCGATGCATTTAAAAATGATAGCGATAGATGAGTAAACGTACAGACTTTAGAATATGCGAATAGGTGTTTAGGTAGATTGATAAACGCAAAGAGAGATGGATTGGCATGGATGTATGAATGCAAAATGGACAGAACGATGCATCGAATTGAATCAAACAAGGCTTACCTACAAGGAATCACAGATACGTTGCTGTTCCTTAGCACCTAATAGACAGATTCTCAAATGTTTAGGCGGAAAAAAATTTTATATAAATTCTGAATAATGGAATTAAGGCAAAAGAGATTTGTATACCCAAAACCTAACCGAGCTTCAACGCAGTGAGTCACTCTCGCCAGAGACAAGAGAGGATTCCTGTTTCTCAGCAGTCATTTGATATTATCTTGAACTTCGGATTGCCGATATATATATATATATATAAACAACTAAAAGGAACTGATAAAAAGAAATTGCGTCGCTTCCTATTCAAATAAATCTAAGTACCTATATATATGAGATGTATTTACTTTATTATGTTGAGTTGATAAAGGACTGGAAGTTAACTTTTCCCAGAATTATATGAACAGACGTTATGTTCCCGTAAATTTCACATAGCTTTACTTTCAAAAAGATATTTTCATCCAGACTGGATTGGACGGCAGTTTCGATCGCATCAGCAACCCCCTTGGGACTCAAACCCGGGTGTTGCAGCGTACAATTTCCTCACTTTGACGGTCGAGACTGCAATCCACCTCAGATGAGAATACCTCTTAAGAAGCAAAACTATTTTAAATTCAGTGGGAACGTGATAAAATGCCACCACAACTCCCCTTATCATCTTAAACAAAATAGGGTGAATACACCTCATTTATATTATCTATTGGTAGACTAGAAAACCTACTTATAAACAAAAAATAAGTGCCTGCATGTTTGAGTGTGTATGCACGTAGGTCCGGTTACGAAACAATATATATTATTGTGTGTAGTTGGAGCAGAGCGTAACGTCAGTCAAGTGAGCGAAGATTATGGTCACTTCTGCAACGATGTGTAAAGTGTATGCGCATAAAAGTTGGGTTTCGAAGATTCCCTTGGCTTGTGATTGTTAAGCTCACTTCCATTTCGGCTAAGAATGCGCGGTAAAGAGATACGAAGACTAGTCCCATCAGATAATAAAAGCGCCTGTAGAGGCTATTGGGTTCAAAAATCAGGTGGCGGAGCACATGGAAGAAACTGGACATGAGATTGAATGATCTTACTGTGATATGCCTGCAGCTAAGCGCAAAATTAGAAGGGACATTAAAATCAACCGGCTAGACAACGCATTAAATGTCAAGATTACCGGTAAGAAAAAAAAAGAACTATTTATGCTTAATGAGATGTATTCACCCTATTTCGTGTAAGGTGATGAAGGACTGGTAGTAGAATTTTCCCACAA